CCGGGGCCACAGGGGCAGCCTCCCTGCTAGGGGGTGTGGGCACCCACGGGGAAATGCCAGGGAAGGGCTGGTAGTCTGGGCGTGGGGTAGCCCGTGCTGGGGCAGTCCTGCTCAGGCTTCCCCCCTCCCCCCACCGCCACCTCCTGCAGCCGGCACTCCCATCCCCTTCGAGGGGGGGATCATGCTGGGGGAAACAAAGATGCTGACACTGAGATGCGGCCACCAAATCTAGCTGAGGAGCGTCCTGAGTGGGTTAATTCTAGGTGGAGGGTTATTCTACGAGCCGTACTGCAGCGGGGCGGGGAGAATGGGGCGGGGGGCTTCCTTGCGGGGAAGAGCTGGTCCGGGCAAATTGTCCACGGTCCTGGCCAGGTGCTCAGTAGTCTGCTGTGTACTCTGTGCCATGCAGCCCTCGGCACAGCAGCGTGAACTCCTTCACCATCTCCTTCACTCGCCGCTTGTTCACACGCTCTCTGCTAAGACAGAGGGAGGGGACGAACATGAAACAGGAGGGACACGCCAGGCTGTGCAAGGGGAAGGCGTCATTCCCACAGCACCCGGAGCACAACCACCAAGGGGAAGGCTGCACGAACCTGAGGATCTGTTGGCTGAAGGTCTCCTTCTGCTCAGGGCTGATGCGGGCCGACGGGAAACCATCCTGCTGCATGGCCTCCTTGATCCAGACGCTCAGGTAGCTGAAGCAGTGCTTGTTCAAGGCGAAGAGGATTTCTGCGAAGTGATCCATGAGGCTGCGGGAAGCCTGGCCACCAATGCCCTGCCACAGAGCAGACAGACCCTAGTGAGCCCTGGCTCAACTGCTCAGGATTAGGGCCCAAAGCCACCCATCATTTCTCACCTCCAGCACTGCCTCCAGAAGTACTTTGCCGTTCTCGTGCACGACCTGTCCCACCGGGGCAATCTCTCCGCAGCGGGGCAGCAGCTCCGTCTGCAACACACAGCTCGGCCGCTCAGTGCCCCAGCCGGCTCCACACCGCAGCGCCTCTGCCCAACCTGCAGCCCCACTCCTGCCCTCCCAGCTCTTGGGTGTTGCTGCACGATGCCACAATACTCACAAAAAAGCCACAGGATGCTTTGACTGTCGGGGCCTCAGGGAACTTGAGCGAAAGGACACCTGCAGGCAGAAAAATCGTTCAGGTTAGCAGCCAGAAACTGCACACCATCCCAAACCGGCCCTGTCATTCCCAGCTCCTGGCTGGTCTGCGCCGAGCGCTGCAGTAGGAGCTTTTCTGCAGAGTGCAAGGGAGCCCATGCCCATGGTACTCACCACACTGAAACACTGCTTTGACATCCAGGTTGCTACACAGGAAGAGGTCCGGCTTTCTTTTCAGAGCCTGCAGGGCACACAGACAGGCAGCATAAACCCAGCGCTGCAGAGGCAGCCAGGAAGCCTCCGAGGAACCTGGTGCCCCAGACAGCCTTTGCCCGGACACACACTTACCTGGGCACACCCACAGTAAACGGCAGGTTCACACAGTACAGCAGGAAACCATCACTTCCCCCCCTCCCCAGTTTGAGAAAATGTCAACCAAATGGCCACTCAGTTTGCTATGCTCAGAGACCACTGACCCCAGGACCCAAGGCAGCGTAGACACAAACGCTTCAGACACAGCCAGGACAGAGGGTTTCTGTCCCAGCAGAACAGGCCAGGGAGCAGCAATGTTCCCAAGGCCAAGGGCGGCCATTCAGGGCCCAGAAGAGACCAGCCACGTCTGTGCTCTCTGTCCTCTCCTCCTGAAGACGCTGGCAGCCTTGGGGTCACAGCAACTGGTTCAAGCAGTCACCCAAAACTGTACCAGCATCTTGGTCTGCTTGGGCTCCAGGACACAGATGACAAGATGCCAACATTGCTTGGCAGTTCCTGAGCAGCAAGTCTGAAATCAGAAATGCTTTGAGGTTTTTTTGTGGTGTTTTTTTTTTTTTCTGCCGCATGGTGATCCCACCAGCCTCTGTGGGGTCAAGCACTGCTGCTGGGGGACACCCTGAGGTATGGGGCACCCCATGCAGCGTCTCAGTCCCCACTGTGCTGGCACTGGGCAGTTAGTGGACAGAAACACTCAGCCTGCACCGTCCACTCCGTAGGAAGAGTTTCTGCCCTGCCACAGTGAGCCCTGCTATGCCCTGACCACCACGTCACCGGGCCACTGCTGCAGACCAGCACTGGGGATGGCAGCAATGCCTCCTGCTCTGCTGTCACTGCAACACTGGGGACAGCAGCCACAGCACTGGAGTGGCCTCTTTTTGTGCCTGGAGCTCTAGAGCCCTCAGGCTCAGCTGTGTGCAGAGCCATGGCTGCCCTTTGAGCCTGCTCCCAGGAATGAAAGCAGCACCTAGGATCCACAGCCATCTGCCCACATCCATGGCCTCTACTTGAACCAAAACAGACTTTTTTCCTACCCCTTCTTCTCCAGGGAAAGCTCATGGCCATCTGCCCAGTGCAGAGAACACATGCTAGAGGCCAAGAAGCCGAGAAGCAGGTTTCAGGGTTACCCCATCTCCTTTCTGACCCTTTGTATCACACACTGCAAGAGAGGACTCAGATTTGGGCACCAAAGGCATTGCTGTAGCAGGTGAAGGTGGCACAATCGCAGGGACCTGCTTCCCTGCTAGAATGAGCACAGACCTTCATGGGGGTGATCGGGGGCCACGTTATACCTGCGTGTGTATATACAGACTGTGTGCACCACCCCTCCTGACATGTTAGGCCAACACTGAAGGCTAGCTAGTGGCTGGGTAACAGTTTAGAAACACTTCCACTCATCGTGGCTGCTGCTGTCTAGTCAGCCCCATACCAGACAAACACTTGCAAGAAACGATGTAGTTTTAGCCACGGGAGACTACCCCGCTGCTGGGGTGCTACTGCGGGCTCCAGGATGGGGACCACAAGCCTCTCCCCCAGCAAGCATGCTGCTTGAGGGCAGCTGGCTCCCGTGATACCACCCGGTTAGCTTCCCCTACTCTGCCCATCCAAAAGGCTAGTTTTAACTCGAGTGCTGCGCACTGCAAGACTGTTCAGCTGGCACAACAATCCTCCAATGTGCTCAGGTTGCCAAACCAGACCCGCAGCAGGCAGAGCCCACAAGCTCTCCTGCAGGCTTGCTGCAGCATCTGCTTCTCACTGTCAGTGCCACGGGGAAGGCACCAGTGTTGGGAAGGCGTCTTCCAGTAGAACACCTCCACCAAGGGAGCACAGAGTGCAAGTCCAATCTGGGCACCCATGCACATGTCTAATGTAGACAGAGATGCTTTTTACCCCCATGAGATGGGGCCCTCTGGAGCTTCTCCCATTAGCAAGCAGCACCAAGGTAGGTCCAACTGCTCCTTGCCAGCCGCAGGAACTCTGCTCTAGCTCTGGGGCCTCTTACTGCCAGCCTGTTCTTCCCGCCTCCTGCCAGAGAAGCTCTGCTCGCATGCTCTGGCATAGGGACAGGTCTTCAAATGGTTTCAAACCTCCAACCGCATCCTCTGCTGCAGCAGCTACTGAAGAAGTGGGCACTGGTTCTCAGGTGAGGGTTGTCCTGCAGCTTGCACAGAAAGAATCAGGTTCCTCTCTATGACAGCTGGGAGAACCCCAGACAGGTGGTCAGAGCAGGCTCTTCTTCTGTGCCCAGCTCTTCAGAGGCAGGCAGGCATGAAAAGGCCACTGAACCTCACTTGTCCAGCAGACGGGGGACAGCGGGTGCTACATGGCCAGCTCCTGTAGCTCTCCAGAACACATGGATCAAGCCCTTGTGTTTGGGACCACCACCTCTCCCCAGACCACATGCCTGGCACAGCAGAGCCTCCAGCTTCGGAAAGGGCATGTGAGCTTGGCCAGGTGCCACAGCCAGGGAGGAGCAAGCAGCTCCTGCCCACTGGAGAGAGGGGATGCTGAGCCCATGTCCTCCACGGAGCTCTATGACTCTGGCTGGAGCAGGCATGGTGAAGAACTCAAGGACTGCTCTGTGCAGCCTGGGCCAGCCCAAGAAGGGAGGGAGGC